AGTGTATCATTATTGTCTTACATTTAGAGAAAATGGAAGCTCCTTTTCTGATTACCAAAGGTTACTGGTCCCTTTGGGTAAGCTCAGTACAGTCCTGAGGTATTATTCCTATATTCCTATAATCCTACTGGAGTAAGCACATAAAATAGAGGCACAGCTGATCTATCACTAGCAGACCTGATGTTTCTTAGTTTTTTCATTATTTTGAGGAAAGGTGACAAGTTCTATCTGAGATACATCTAACCTTATTAGCAACCAGGTTAGCTACTTGGTAAAGGCTTTAATGAATTATGTGAGCTGTGAGAAGCTAGGAATGTGATTTGAAAGCCACCCTGAAAGGAATTTATCTTTCTGAAAAGGAAGGGAAAAAGCCAAGAAAAACCTAAAAAAGTCAAATACTTACCAGCTGGAAGGCAGAGAGATACAACCAGCTGTGGTTAACTACTTATAGCCACAATGGGGCCCTAGGGCGTGCAGCTGGTTCTTTCCTTTGGTTTTAAAGGGTTGGCTACTACCATTCCGGGAATGGACCATATAAAATAAATGAACCAAGTGTGGAGAAAGACAGGTATAACCAGATATGCTAAGAGAAGGCAGTTCAGTTTAATTAATAAAGACTAATTCTAAGACAAGTTAAGTTATTAACATCCAAAAGATTAGGGTTCTTAGGATGAGATACCAGTGAAGTCAGATTGTTTACGTTATAGATATTTATGTTCTTCTATTCTGTTAAATTTGAATAATAAATATATGAATTTACTTTTGTTTCACCATTGCTTTCCTGTTTGTTTTACTTTCTTCTCAAGCATTTTACAGGTGGACAGACTGTAGCTGAGTCAGAATATGGCCAAGACAATAGGCTTAACAAACCTCTTCTTTAACATCACACCTACAAACTTAAACCCCTTCAGCTGATCACAACTGCTCAGGGCTGTCATAGTATCACTTATAGTGACTCTCTTTTGCCTAGATCCTGAAAAAAAATTAATTATATGTTTAGCTTGATATCCCAAGCAAACCTATAGATTTAAATAGGACTAATTTCAGTGTATAAAATTGGGCTAGTTCTATTCTTATAAACATTATCATTTCAGCATTGTTACGCATTGTGTTTTTTACACAAAGTTTGTACCACCAAAACAGATACAGTTATACTTACAAAGAAAGTGCTGTTTCTGGTGCAGCTAGTTTTGCTTGGGAACAGGTATAACTGTTGCCAGTATAATATGCTGTTATGTTAGAAGGATTTGCCTATATAGGTCCTATCTAACTGTTTTCTAGTGTAGATGGTGTCGTACCTCGGTGTTCTCATACCTCGGTACCTTCGGAAGTCTGGACTGTCAGTGTCAGCGTCGTCTGGTCAGGGTCGTCCTGGCGCGCTCCTGACAGGACCTCTACTCCGTTGATAAACTTTCGGCTGCGTGCGTAACAATCGGTACTCCCTTTATCTAGAGTGTTAGACCCCATGCACTTGGGTCAACACAAGAGATCTCTGAGAGGCCCCGGAAACAACAGATGCAGGCAAGGTTTGAAATCAATCGAGCAGGTTTATTGTCAAATGCGAAGCTCTACCAGTTGGTAACAGAGATCAGTACAATGTTACACCACTGGGCACTATGGCCCGCGTTGACAAGGTACCAACACCGGGCAGGCCTATTGCCATATAACAGATATTAACAGCAGTTAGTCAAAGTTAAGCTACTGTGCACTCTGTAAGTTTAG